TTCATGCTGTTTTTGGAGGTACCCTCAAAATATAATCAGTACCAAACCAGAGAATGTGGTAAACCAGGGGGATTATTATTGTAGTAAACGGGTTTGTTTTTTCTCACTGTGGCAAATCAACAGAACAGTGCCTGTAATATATTACCAATTGATATCACTATATATAGTGTACATGACTATCAATACATTTGACAGAGGTCTCTGGTAAGACAGGTTGACCACTTTTCGTAATGGCCAGTGTTTGTGGTTTTACATAATATTGATTGTATTGAAACAAGGAATCAAGAAGAGTTTTGCTCATGCCAACATCCCTGTCCTATAAAATGAACCCAATATGTTTTATAGTCGTATTCTAACCATATCGTTCTATATCTCTGAAGTAATGCTATGCCAGTTTACTTACAAAATAAAGAATGCACTACATAATTATTTTGGGATAAACAGTATAGGTTGTAATCAAAGACGTCATTTACAGACGGCAGAATGTAGTGAAATAGCAGCGAAACAACAATTCTAAAAATAGATAAAAACCTTCTATTTAGGAAATCTATATGATTTAGTTATTTTAAACATTTAAGGTATTGCATCCTATCATGATCAGAAAACAAGTTAAACACTTGTTTGCTTTAAAAGGAGTCCAGGACTATTTTAAAACATTCAGAATGTGAAAAAGAGAACTAGTGTCTAGAACTAGAACTAGTGAAAAGTAAAATATTCTCCCATTCCTCAGGAGTTCTGTTATCTGCATTTGACCTGTGTTAAATATTCTCATTACAATCACTTCAAATGAATACGAAACCTCTGTTTAATCCCAACCCCAGGGAAACTGAATACACTAGACACCAGATAAAAAAGCTAAGTGCAACTGTGTCATCTGAATTCATTGCACTGAGGAGACCTCTGTAACCAGCAGCACTCTTATAAGTCAATCCTCGACACTTAAGATGTATAAAAAATGTGTAATTGAACCAATCTGTGAGTATGAAGGAGTACTAAAAAGCCTTTACGTTGTCAAAAAACATTTCAATATCTTATGTAGGTAACTACAATTGCAATATATTGAACTGATAAATAAAACTAACTTTACTAAATACTTTAATAATATTATTGAATATAATATTAACATTTTCATTTAATAATGACAAGTGTGATTTGTTTTGGAAGCATTTGTGATTTTGGCTTTACTTTAACATTTCTAAATCAACTTAAATCAGCTGTTTCCATGTCATGTATACAACAGATGGCTGCAAACTCTTTTATATGTTAAGAAACTGTCTCTCTTGTAAAAAATGTTTTAGCGCTTGTCTCCTTTCGTTAAAGCCCTATTAATTCAACTAACTGTTTATTGGAGTTCACCTGTGTCAAAAACTCTAAATCAACTGCAACCTAAACAAGAAACTCTCAAAAATCGAGGTGAAAACCACTGTCATACAGACCGCGACACAACTGAAGAGGGGGGACATACCCTCTTAATGCACGCATTGAAACTGCAGAAGAGCACTAGGAGACATTAATAAAAACAGCGGCATTTTCTTACCCCAGTTTAGGGCTCATCAGATTAGTACCCAAGGTACATTCTCTGTTTGGAGATTCTCTACTCAGGGCAATCATTGAGCTTCAGCTCTTATTAACAGCATGGTGTCTGACTGCAGTGGGAGAAAGGATTAGCCTATCAGAAGATTCAGCAGTGCTCTAAAAAGGGGATAATGGATTAGGAGGCTCTAAGGAAGACATCTGCTTTGGTGCTGTGCTCCATATTATCAAAGACATTGGCATTTCCCTAGTCATAAACTTTTCATGAGCTTTCATACTGTAAATATGAGAGCTCTCTTCATCTTTCTAGGAGAAGTGTACTGCCATTAGCATTTGCAGACACCCTTACAAAATCTAAATTGTAGAAGCAAAAAAACGAAAAGTAAACGCACAGATGTTGAAATAAATGGTTAAATTAATGACTCTCCCAGGTTAAAAACTTTTTTATGGCATGCTTTGATGGCGATCGGTCCTGAATTCTAGACGATAGGAGCTGTCCTGAGAGGGACAAGCCACCCAGCTATGTTGTTGAGGCCAGTACCCTGGTTTAAGATCCTTGAATCAATTAACTGATAACTATAATAAGGCAAAATGAGTCAAATGGCTTCCTCTTGTTTGTAACCTTTCTTAATATTTAATACAACTGCCAAATATTAAGCTAACATGTAAAAACAATCACTCAGTAGACTTTTTTTCCATGGAGTTAATTCAGCACCAGGCTAACTCAGATTTCAGATTTCTCCCGATGGATGAAGTGCAAACAGTGGGTTCATTACTACAACTCAATCAGCGATAAAATACACAAGAAACGTGTCAGATGTTGGAGACAGAGAAATACCAGTGTTGTTACAGTGAGCTCTTGCTTGAAAATAACGAAGGGCACCCTCTGAAAGAACATACATGTAAAACATAATGTCCAACATACCTCTCCAAACTGCTCTTTCAGCTTTCTTTCCCAGGCTTTCTGGACAAGTGGGATGTTCTTTTTGCTTGTGACATAGCAGTTTGCTAGGAGTACGTGATTTAGAGTCAGACCACTACTTTTTGCACTCAGCACTTTCTCCACATGGCTGAAAGATAGCATGGCTTCAGTCGGTGCTCCCCCTTGGACAAGATGCATTGTGCATGGGATAAGACCAATCTGCCCAGCACAAAATACGGCTTCACCAACCTGGAAGGATAAATCAGTAACAAAAAGAGGAAAGACATGAACATAATTTTATAATTGGCATAGTTATTTATTTGAAGATGTTGTGCCATTCATGCACTTCCATAAACAATGATATATAATATATAATAATAATACATATAATTGCTGGAAAGTTTTATGTGTAGTAAACCACTTCAGAAATGCAACACATTTCCACTCCAAATTATCAATAATGCAGGTACCCCTAGAACAGCACAGAGCTACCAAGGAACATTTAATAAACTTAATTTATAACAATGACATACACTTTATCAATGATATGTATATATTAAACATCAAACATAAAAAAAGAAACTGAAACATTAAAAAAAGGATATGAAATTGGACATTAAAAAGCAATATTAATTCTGTGTTCACCTTTTTTGTTTCTTTTCACCACATCTAATTCTCCATCAATACCAATACTAAGAAGCTTTTTCTTGCTTTCAACACCAGATCTATCACTTTCACATCTCTTTCCGCTCTAGATTTTCCGAATTGCAAAGATACTTCCAACACGAAGACAATGTGGACAAACACCATGAACGCACAGCGAGAGAGCAGACAATGGGACCTGGCAGCACCACTTGGGATGCTGGGTGGTGCCGTGAATTAGTTCAATTGTGGCACCATTTTCAAAATGACTTACAGTTGCTCTGGATGAGTTAGGGGCTGTTTAATGTCGTGCACCTCAATTTCTGGATGACTGAAGTGCAAAACAACGTTGAATAGGGAGATGTTAAATGGGGACTTCCTATATTAATTAACTTGTAGTTCTTTCAACAACAGTAATGGATACAAACAGGATATAGTATACAAATTACATGTCGTAGTATTCAAAGTAATGCAGGTTTTTATTAAATTGAGAACAGGTTAATTTATAGAAAGAGTACAGATAATGGGTATGCTTGGTTTAACATACAGTAATTAGTGGAGTTCTGTATAAGGACCACTGCTTTTCTTCATTTATATATGTATAAATTATCTAGATTCTGGTATAGCTACAATCCATGTTTAATGATGAGAGCAAAATATGAAGATCGGCAAACACGTCTAGGTTTTGTGGGGAAGCAACAAAAATCAAAAACATAAGGATATATAGCCAAAATGTAGAATTTAAATTAAGGAATGATAAAATTGTACATTGCACTGGTAAAACCCCACCTAGAATATTATGAACAATTCTGATCACAAAATTAAGATATTGCTGCTCTGGAATCAGTTCCGAGAAGAACAACCACATACAGTACATTCCTGGGCTTAAAGGAATGTAATATTCTATCAGCTTGAAGAATTCAACCCTTTTAGTACTGAAAACAGATTACTATGAGGGGACTTAATACCATTCAGGTAATCGAAATTAATGAAAGGCATTTGACAGAGTCACCTCCATGGACTTCTTCTGAATCAAATGTGAAATACAAACCAGACAACACAAGTTAAAAATTAAGGGAAAGTGCATTTAAAACTGAAAAAAGGGGGTACATTTTTACAAAAAGGTTTATGGAAAGCTGGGACTAGGACCCCATAGTATTGACTATGCTTTAATAGTTTAAAGAGATCCTAAGATCAATTAGCTTGTAGCAGCCAGATACAGTAAAACAGAGTACTTGAACAGCCTCTTCACATGTTAGTTTTACAATTAAACTTGTTGTAAAACTACAACAAGTTTACACTGTAGTCTTTGGTATTATACAGAGAAGGTCTGGAACCTTTACTACAACGATTGTTATAACAATGGTAACAATGACACCATAATGTCTTAATCTTTAAGCATAATAATGTTCATTATATAGATTTTCTTCTTGATATGAGCACCAGTATCATGTACTGACCTGTTGAACGATCAGTATTCTGCCTTAACAGAGTTTATTTTAGATATATATCCTCCTTTAAAAAACAAATGAGCATGTATTTTACATCCACAACAACCACATTTAACAGTACTTATTAATTGTTCTCTGGGTATTCAATATTTTTTATTAACCATGACAATTAAAAATCAAAGCTGTAATTGTTATACTCCATATATATTCCTATTCTTTAGAAAATAATATTATTGGGATAGCTATTCAACAAATGGCAAAAATAAATGTTCAGCCTTGCATTTAGTACCTCACAGCAGCATTCAGACCATTCTGTTGGTCCAATTTTGTGAAGTTACAATTAAAATTTAAAAATAAAACTTAACCTATTTTATTCAAAACCTGAATGCCCATATGTAAAGCTTCTACAGGTAGGATAAGTTACACTAAAAATCAGCAAAAGCTCAAGAGAAGAAAACAGAAACACTGTACGTTCACTGTACAAGTATTCAGACCCATGAATTTTATTTCTGGCTAAATACAGATTGACATGTCCCAATCCATGGTTCAATTTGTTCTGGCATGACGGTAGGCAGAGAGTGACCCACCTCTCCATGCAAAAGCTAGAAGAGGTACCACTGGGCACAAATGGACCGATTCAGAGATGGATATGTGATGATATGAGCTACAATACAGCATGGATGGAGAGTTAACAGTATTGTATATTAATGGTTCTTTGACTGCGCAACACTATAGAAATGATGTTCTCCATCCACATACCACACCTTACTTTGCTTGAATTTAAACCCCCACATTTACTGTATGCATGATAAAGCAAGGCCACATCACCTTATACATTTGTCAGGCTTTCCTGGCTCGGTAAAACGTGCACGTGATGGACTGGCCATCCTATTCGTCTGAAATGAACGCATTAACCACCGGTGGAATTCACTGAATAAGCATGTGATCCACATGCGCACTCGCTGGGCTTTGTGCAGCACTTCTGGCAGAGTGGAATCTAAATGAACACTTTTGGAACATCAATTCTACATCAGGTACAATACCAGCTTTGCCAGCAGCGTATGTAATTGATAAACTATACATAAATAATTGATTTGAACAGCAGCCCATTTTTATGCCATTTTCTTTCTTTTCTAATATATAAATGAGTCTGTATTTTGGTCTGGTTTAGTAAATTTGAGACTAAACTAATTTGTTGCATCTTAATGCCTCTCAGTATGCACTTTCTAGGTAAAGCAGCTCAATTTAGTATCACAGAAATATTGTGTACAGACTGCCATGTAACACTTAACTAAAGTATTAATTACTGCACTATCTTTGCATCCAGCACTATTAATTAACAAGTTGTCTAGCTGTTCTATTATCACCTGCTCTGCTAGGTTTCATGGCTATCCTCTATTAAAAGAAGGGAAAACAGCAAAAGATGTGTGCTTAATTAGCAAAATTACAATTGCTTCAGAGAGGGGGATAAACATGTGTTAAAGTAAGTTTGAAACTCAATCATTTTAACTAGAAATCCATCTTATTAATGCAGCTGGAAACCCGAGTGATCCATGGCATTTCAAAGGTCAGGATTCACAAAAGATCCAATGACCCCTGAACGGAAAATCAAATACTCGTCTACATGTTGCAGTCAATGTAAACAAGTGAAAATGACAACGTGCTAATTGGCAGCTTCTGACAAGACCTATTGGATCAGTGACCTTAATATGGACCGCCATGGCTGAAATCAGTTGACGCATCACACAAAATTAGGCCCTTATCTTATTATCAAAGACTGGGTATCATCTTTTCTAACTGGATTACAGAATAGAGGCTGTGAATTCGTCATTAATGCAAGTTAATCCCCTTGCTCCTTGTGCTCATTTTGCTACCTAATGATGGTAAGATCATGTGCTTAAAACTTGACACTTGTTTTCCACGTGTTGAAAAAAAACATGCATACAGATAAATAAGAGATACAGCATACATCAGCAGAGACAAAAGATAAATAGTTTGATTTTTCAGCTATTTGTATTTGTAAAATTTATTTTTAAGCTACATTTGCTTATTGAACTAGGCTGATCAATCTAACAAAAAAACACACAAAATATTTCAAAATAATTCAAAATTGACATGCTGAATAGGAATAAGAACTACAGTGCTCCATTCCTAGAACTAGGGCATTGACATGGTTTATAGTCTTTTGGCTATAGCAGTATACCCACTGTGGTCTCTAGGTACCTGCCAATTGCCATCTCATTGGAGAGTCATCTGCTTTATTTATTTAGTTGTACAAATCAATATCTACTATTGCTTTCACCAGGCTGAAGGATCAGCCTGAAAGTCATTGCACAGATACACTAAGAGTGTTATTAATTACACTCTACCATTTCCCAAGATCAAAAACAATATCATATTCACATGCAGCTTGAAGACTACTAATTTCTGGGTATTTTTCTTCTGCTGGTGTATAACAAAGGTAATTTAATACCTCGGTGCACTGAGAATTTCTCCATGAAAATACAATTTGCACAGCTAAAGAAAACCCCATCTTTTTTCATATTTACATCTAAATAAACTCTCACTACATTTTCACAGATGTAGTGGGGGTGGTGCAACCTCTAGTCAATAATATAACTCAAGTGTACTTCACTCCTGAATTGTTAATGCTTATTTGGAAAGAACTAAGTATCATCTCATTCTTTGACACCATTCCATAATATATTAAAGGATCCATGTATGGATATTGTTTGCTATTGCAGTTATTCATCAACTTACATGCACATTTCAAATCAAGATTAACAAGCATTTCAAATTTCTGAGATATTTCCAAAGAAAAGTTTACCATAGTAAAATATGTAAATGAAATAAAACAGCACTGAAACTGAACTCTTATGATGTAAATCTAAAGAAGGAAATAGGAACTGAAAGTTGTCATACCTTTCACAGAAATGTGTGAAAAACTACATACAAATTTAGAAAAAGCAGCACTATGTCTTTAACAATTAAAACAAAACGTTTTTTTCCCAATCAGAAATACATCTTTGACCAAGATAAGGATTTTTTTTCTTTTAAAAATGGTTCCTAAAACTCATATTTAAAAATAACTGCACAACACAACGCTTAGCTAGAGGGAGGAAATGGTCACATCTATTTCCATAATCATACGGGTTT